AGTGATGTGTGGGACAGTCCTGCAATAAGTTTTATTATTGTCCAACCATGTGGGTATACAATTAGATAATCACATAATAATAATAACTGATATTCCTGTAGCAGTTTTAATTTTTCCAAGCATGTGCACTTCCATGATCTCATTAAATGTTCACATTTGGAAAGATTCAAATTTGTAGAGACAAAATCATGCAGTATGGTTACAAATACACTCTGAAGCCAACCCCAGGCCCACCAGTAGCTGTGAGGTTAATGGATCCCTCCGTTCCCTCAACATCCATGGGAGTGGTTGTACCTTCCTCGCTTAGATGTCATTAAAATTCAATGAGTTAGTAGATGGAAACTGCTCAGGACAGTCCTTGGAACTTCATAAGTACTCAGAAAAGGTTAACTGGTCATTACTGTCACTGTCATTATCATCTTTGTCACATCATCTATGGTAGTATAAATATGAAGATGGGCTAGAGCCCAGGTCTGCTGACATCCAGTCTCCGATTTTTTTCAGCACACATTCAGATACTCCATTAGTGTGGTTGTGACTCATAGAATAACTTGGGAATGCCACATTGTAGACCTACGTCCTCTTATTTATTATTACAAAGTATATACTTTAATTGAAGATCTCCTATATTCTGAGGCAGATGTTCAGCTAAAGCAGGAAAATATTAGCAATTCCAGATAAAGCCTCTTCAAAACTGTGCAAACAGAACAAATGCACATAATCATGGAAACTTGCAAATACTCAGCTAATCTGATCAGAAGAAGCTGGCTATTTTGTGTCTGTGTTATATAGTGTCTGTGTTGATATGACCTATAAGTGGGTCTGAATTTAATGCAGAAAATTAATATTTCAACCTCTGCGTCTTCTGAGATTGATTTTGTCCCACTGGTAATGGACAGTGAGTTTCCTCTAACCAGCACCTGGAATCTATAAGCAGCAGTTCACTGGAGAAGTACCAAAATCTGAGGCATGAAGATTTCTCCTGCAAACAAGTGGATTTATGTTGACACAGGACTTTTTCGATCTTAAACTGCTGATGTATATATGACTTAAAGAGACAGTGCTTTGATGTTAAACAACAACAACTTTTGGACTTGGAGACAAAAGATAAAGGTCCATGCCCCTTCTTCACATTACCATGTGTGTGACACTGGCTGACAATGTAACCACTCTCTGCCTCTGCTTGTACTTCTAGGAAAAATGAAGATCACACAGTTTTTTTCCACAGGTTGCTGTGTAGTCTCTAACTCACTCATATTTGCGAAAACATATTGAGACATTGGTGTTATACTCAAGATCCTTGCTTCATGTATCTTCCTAGGATTCATGGGATCAACTTTGTAGTTCTCTTGGAATTTCTTCTCTCTATCCAGTTAAGACTAGTGGGTTTTGTTCAGAACAAAGACAGAAAACTGTCATAAGCATTATCAATTTATCAGGAAATGGTTTCACCTCCTCTTCCTGGCTCACAGGGGTGATTCATTTTGAGAAAACCCTTGGGCTCAGTTCTGAAGACTGACACATCATGGAGAAGGGACAGAATGGTCAAAGAAGCCGCTGTGACCCGTCAGGACAGTGTCTTGAAGGCAACCTGGAGCATGGCTTCTGCTTTCTGTGGCCAAGAAGGACATGATGATCCACCGCTGCTCACAGTTTCGATATCGTCTGGAAATCATTTCACGAAAGACAATATCTTGTTTCCCTGGGCCCAGCCTTTCTCTTCCTCTACCATTTCTTCCCGTATTACTTCCCATCCTTCAGGTCATATCTTCCATAGGTTCAGGACTGCAGCCTCGTTTTACCTCTAGTCCAAGGAAGGCTTGATAAAAAGTCAAAAGTTCTGGACAAAAAAGTCATAATTTAAAGCCCAAAACTATAAATGCTTCTTAAATCCTCGGCAAATTTGTATTTTCTGCCTCAATGCACAGTACTATTTATAAAGCTAATCGAAAGTTAGTTGCACGCAAATTGTACTTTCGTTGTAAAGTAATTAAGAATTGTCCTAAAATTTTAACCTGTTTCATATATTCATATGTCTATGCTCTCTAAAGTTGGAATGCCTAAATGACACTGATTTAAAACCTAGTGAGCAATGGAAAAGGATCATTCCAAAATGCCTGCACGGTTTTGGCTATTGTCCTGACAGTTCTTTCTTTGCCAGGTGATATATCAGTGTCCTAACATTCTGATACATTGCTCATTGTTGCAATTATTTTGTCAGAGTACATCCAGGTTTCAGTGCTTCATATGTATGAATAATGAGATTGAAAATCTTGGTTAGCTTTCATTGAGTACTGATCAAATACACAACTAATTCTATAAAAGATGAATAGATTTCATTATTCTATCATATATATTCTGGGAGCAAGTAAACCATATTTTTAATTGAAATTCTTTTGGAAAGGGACTTTACATTGTCATTAGAAGATCCTATACAGACAGCATTTGTAGGTTTCTGGAGATAGTCATATGAGTGTATTCAGAATATACAAAGTTACTTAACTTGCTAACTACATACTAAAAAAAGTTCGTCAAAGCAATTCCCACAATCTCTTTTAAGGACAAATAATGAGAATATGCAACTATCTGTTTTAAGATAATGCTAAATGACTTACATGAAAGTAAATATTGTGTTTATTTTATTTATGTCATTCTGTTGATATTTCCAAGCATCTGTGCACTGTTATTGTATCTGCTTTAGCGTTCCTTGCCCTTGAGATGCATTACTATCTCAAGGCGGGAGGAGAGTGTGGCCACTGCAAACCATTGTGCCCAGGTAGACTGTACAAAAAAGAAAGAGCTAAGAAAGCCTTTGTGGGCAGCCCTCCCGCCCACCCACCATGGCGACCACCGAACCGAAAGTGCCTTTGCTTTTCCACTATAACTCACTCCTACCATTCAGCTGTGACCTTCCGGAGGGACCACGGGTAAATCCCTTAGCCACAGTTGTCACTGTCTTCCCAGTGCCCACCTTCTTCTCCTCCACTTTACTGTTAGTCTCTTGGCAGCTCCCCTAGCAGTGATGGAGACAATATGTTACTGACACCCAGAATAAAACTCTAAATGTATCTCCCCTCAGAGACTTCCTTATATTCAGTGATTAGTCCTGTAATACCATCAGGATGGAATAAATGATTTTTTTCCATTCTATTGGAAACTTTACCATCTGGTACATACTGTTTTCTCAGGACTGGGTTTTCTAAATTAAAAGTAAAGAGGCTGGACATGGTGGCTCACATCTGTAATCCCAGAACTTTGGGATGCTGAGGCAAGCAGATCACAAGATCAGGGGTTTGAGACCAGCCTGGCCAACATGGTTAAACCCCGTCTCTACTAAAAATACAAAAATCAGCTGGACATGGTGGTGCACGCCTATAATCCCAGCTACTCAGGAGGCTGAGGCAGGAGAATCGCTTGAACCCTGGAGGCGGAGGTTGCAGTGAGCCTAGACTGTGCTACTGCACTCCAGCCTGGGTGACAAAGCAAGACTTGATCAAACACAAAAGAAGTAAAGGGAATGTGACCGTCCTTTTGTTACGCCCTTTATGGTGAAGTTGTGGCTGGATGAAGACACTTTTATTTCCTTGCTCACCCTTTTTTTCCAGAAACTGCATAGATTCCAAAATAATTGTACTAGCTAATTGGCATATTATTCAATATGAAATATTGATGAAAATTTATCTTCATGTTGTTTCAAATACTGACGAAAAAATATCTTCATGTTGTTTCAAATTTCCATCAGAAAATCAGAGGGAATGGGGAGCTTTAAGTGCCAAAGATTTTATGAACCAATGTTACTTAAAAGAAGATGCATTATTTTGATGCACAGGTGGTTCACATCATGTTACCTCTAGTGTCTCATTTGAAATATAAAGTCTTGTTCCATTCTTAAAAATAAAAAAAATAAGGAACTTGTAATTTGGTCATACTTATGAGAAGGGATACTATTGTCTAAAACGGCCACAGAGGAGGATCCAGAATGATTTCATGGTTATGCTACAGTCTGTATGTTCTATATGTGTACTTTTACACTCCACTGAAAGGTGACTTTGTTCTATGGTGCAAAGAGACGGGAGAAAACTTGTACTGCCATGTTGTTACCACTGACACACTCTTCTTGTCTGAGTCCCCTCTCAAACACACACAATGGGAAAGCACCAAGCACATTCAGTCTCCTCCATACTTATTTGATCCGCAAAGACAGTATTAAATTTGATCAAATAAAATTTGCTTTAAAAAGAAATGGGAAAATGTTTGCAAGGAGCTCATCTAAATAGAATATAAGAAAACAAAACACAATTTCATATGCAGCGTATAAGTAAATAAGACCAGAACCTGATTCTTCATCCCTTGTAATATCAGCTACATTCATGGTACCAATTAAATGCTGTGTCTTGTCTTTGTTCCCCTACTGTGCATTGCTGTGTTGGTAAAGGTAACTAGTCATTGGAGATTATGTGAGACGACAGTGAATTCCACACTGTACAAAGAGCTATTAATATTTTAAACACTGTCTACCCTTCAGGCACTGAGGTATTACATCACTATTTATACAATAGAATTTGTCAGTGATTGGAAGGTTTTGAGTGTTTTAGCATCTCGATCATTAAGTAGGAGATACAATTATGTTAGCAAAATTAACAGGTACCAGAAAGTAGACTTTTACATTATTTCACATGTTTCTGATACTGTCTGATCCCAAAATAACTACTTGATTAACAAATTTGTCTCATAAGAAATGTCTCTATGTAGGACAGGATGAGATCATTTGAAAAATCCACTCCTTTGAGAACTTTTAAACCACCACCACCAAAAAAAAAAAACCACCTCATTTAAGAGCTGGAGTTGAATTATATGGTCATTTTAGTTCTCAGAATTTTAAGCGTGGATGGCTGGAATCATGTGCATGTGATAATTCTAGGCTACTCTCAATAAATAATACATGTCATTTCTGCTTCACTGAGACTGTCACTGACTGCTCTAAATGACTTTCAATGCAGGGCCCAGCCTGCTCTCCCAGAGTGCACTTCAGCTCAATTCCAAACCTGAAGGGTCTTTCCAGTATCCGGCCAGCTACCATAGCAACCAGACCCTGGCCCTGGGGGAAACCACCCCTTCACAGCTCCCGGCCCGAGGCACACAAGCCCGAGCTGCAGGCCAGAGCTTCAGCCAGGTAGGTACCCAGTGCTGTGTGGTATCAGTGGCCTCCAAGGGGACAGGTGGGGAACGGGCCTGCAGGGGATGTGGAGATCCAGCCTGCCTTTTCCTAGGTGTGTCCCTCAACTTGAGGGAAGATGCCCTTTGGTGCTGTGAACGAAGGAAAGAAATAATAGATGATTATGGAGTCATGCTGAATTCCAAACATTTCCTTTAGAAATACCTGTGTGTTGTTCACGCTATACCTATCTTGTATATGTTTCTCTGTGTGACTATGTCAATGTGAGTCTAGTTACTCTTTCTGGGTCTATATGTGATATAAATATGGCACATATTCTGAGTTTGTGAGTGTACTCAGAAAAAATACTGAGTATTTTGTCTCCTAAAAAAAGCATGGGATTGTTCTTTAGGGCTTTTGATTTTAATATTAAGAAACATAGTATAAGTGTGTAATCGGGTAAACAGAACTGTTTGGAAAATAATTGTGATGAGTTTAGGCACAGTTATATTTTGTAAGGTCTGATTTTTAAATGTGCCTTCGATTGTTTATTTAAGGCATATGCTTGATCTTATAGTTTCACTGCACAAAGGCATTAGCTGCAGTTAAAACCAACTCTTTGTAAAAAGAAGCAGCTACCAATCTGGAAGTGATTTTTTTTTTCAAGAAAGATGTAAATGTTATTATATATAAAGGAAGGAGAGAGAGCACACAAGTATTTTGGCTTTTATAATTTTGAGATACAAGACATATTGGATCATCCCACCAGAGTTAATTTATTGGAAGGCTGTCTTGTTTTAAGCTTCTTTTCAGCAACATGAGTCCTTTTAACCTCTGTGCTTTTGATTCTGGAATGAAGAACTGCAAGCCCCACACCACATTTTCAGCTGAAAAAGTTAGTTTCAGCCCTTATGCACTTACTGAATGCTGTCTCTTCCAGGAACCCTTGCTCTGAAATGTTCACTATGCACCACTGGCTCTGTAACCCCTGAGCCCGTCTGTTTCACCAGTGCATTGATGCTATCCATCCATGCGTCTCTCTAACTAAACTGAAAGCTACTTGAGGGCAGGGCTTTTTTCATCTTCATATCAGTAGCGCCTGGCGGGCCACATGTCCTCAAGAAATGAATGCAGAGGTGAGAGGCAAAGAGGGTTAGAACAGCCTGGTACGTTACGGGCACTACTGTGTGCCCATTTATGTGACATTAACATTATTGAAGCAGGAACTGGAAGTTTATTTGGATTTCCACAACTAAAGTTAAATGATTATGCCAGAAACCATTTTGAAAATACAATTACCTTCTTCCAGTAACATTCATGTTCATCAGTGGCTTTCTGAGTTTTGCCTTCTCACAATGCTGAATGATAGGGATGTGGGTAAGAGGAACTGATCAAACATTTCACTGAGATGAAGGGCCTGTCCTTCCACCCACACTCCACATTGCTTTAAAGTTTAATCAGAAAGGTTATTAAGTTATAAAATCATCAAAGCTCTATATTTGAAGTCATCAGAGTTATAGTTTGAAGACATCGATAAATGTAAATGTTCAAAGATAAAACTTAGGCTTGGGCAAAGGTTACTGGTAGACTCACTTACCTGGTAGTGGGTAGGATGCACAGGTATGAATATTCAAACCAGGACTTGAAATGTTCTAATTCACTCACTAACAGAAGGGAAGCCATTGTGGAATATCTGAACTCTCATTTATTTAGCTCGGTGGTAGATACTGGTACCATGATTTGCTTCATCTGTGTGCTGAAGTATGAAAGCCATGCTTATTGAATATTCCGTAGGGCCTGTGGCTTCAATGTAATGTCAGAGAAATGTTCAACAAATGAGCCAGCATTTTCACTCTGCTTTTAGTGCTATACCCTTGAGAGAAGGGAGGCTGCATTCTATTCCAATAATGACACTATTGTTCACATCCTTCTATTTGAGTGGTTTTCCAAAGTGTGTGATTCCTTCTTTTCACAAGTCTTATCTGTGTTAAATCTTATTCCTTCAAGGCTAGGTTAATTTTTAGAATATCCTGTAATCATAAATTGCTACAAGGGCTAATACAATTCAAATTCTGGCTAATGATGTCAGGCCAACTAAGTATGGTCAGTAATCAATCAATACAAAAATCTTCTATTTTTTTTGTCTAAAAAACGTAATTCTAAAGTAAAGCAACGATTTTTTAATCTGGTTCATAAATTTAAATGCAATTTCAAAGGAGTATTATAAATGCTCAGAGATTCTAATTTCAGTATTTAAAAATATGTGTTCGGCATAATAAATGCTTATTCAGCAATCATCACCAGGATTTACCACAGGCCCTGATTATATGTGCATAATCTGCATTCCCCAACTTATCAGCCCAAAAGTCAAACTGTAAGTCACCCAAATTGCCATAAAATATTTGTTCTCTGATGTTACTCCAACTAAAATCTTTAAAAATCATTCTTCTGAGACTTAGGATGAGTTCATGGAGCTGGTCCAGAGGAGAGAAAGTGGACTATCCTTCCCATCAGATCCCAATGCTATTCTAGAAAGTGACCTGAGCGGATTCATAGGTATCCTTTCCACACTGCCAGGACTCTGCTCAGCTGTGCTGCAGGTTCCCACCCCAGCCTCTAAACAAGTTGTATAGGTCACTCCTCCACAGCCCCTTCTTCCTCCAGGTCAACCTTCACCTTCGTGTGTCTAGGTTGTGATGCATTCAAGATGTTTATCATGTGCCAATTGATGGCATGAGCCTTTGTGCTTGGGATGGAGAAGTGAAGAAGGGAGACATGATCTCAGTCCTTAAGGAACTTCTGTTCTAGCCGCAGGGATGGAGATGCAGAAAACCAACACAGCAAATAAGTAAATTGCACAGGGCATTAGGAAGTGACGGTTTCTGTAGGAAGGAAATGGATACAGAATAGGGTAAGCAAGATCCAAAGTGCATGGGGAAGTGCAGCATGATAGGGACCTTGAGGAGACTTTTGGGCAAATACATGGAGAAGTGGAAGGAAGCCATATGGCTCCCTCTGCACAGTAAATGCAGTGGCTCCTGCATGGGGCAGCCCACATGCTGATGAAGCAGCAAGGATGCCAGGGTGGCCACAGTGGGCTGCGGAAGTTGTGAGGTGATGGGAAACCAGCTGGGTCATTGGTAGGATCCTGCCTTTTACTAAGAGTGAAGTAAGGAGCCAGTAGAAAATTTCAAGCAGAGGAACAACATGACCTACCTTACGTGTTACAAACATCATCTGTCATATAAGAAGTGATAGCGTATAGTTAGTTGCACTTAAGTCTGTCTCTTCCTATTAGATTGCCCTGCTGCAAGAGTGAGAACAGTGCAAGACTTACCTCCATTTCCCTCATAATTGACCCAGGGTTTACCAGATATCCATCAGGTTCTGCCAACACGAGCCTGATGTTTTATAATTATTCTGTACAGGTTTGTGGGCGGGTTAGAAGATAAAGAGTTTGGCTTTCCTGCTTTCCACTTACATAAAATTTCCATTGGATTGTATGAAATGCTAAATATAAAGCTTCCGGCAAAGATGATCCAAAAACCAACTCTAAACATGTTGGTTTTGCCCATGTCCAAACATAAAATAGTCTCACCAAGCATTTTGTCCCTCAAACAAAAAAGAAACTACGCATGAAATATGAAAATATACATCTGTAGACAGAGCACTGGCAAAGGAGTACACAAGCCTAAAGACTTAAAACTCTTCGCATATTCTCTGATAGAATTGAACAGTGCACACAATTGCAATCTTAGGGAAATGACCTACTTGGTGTAAGAAATTAAGAATTGTATGATAGTTCTCTAAAATAAAACTGAACAGTGGTAAGTATTCTAGAAAAGCGATACCCTTTGAGAAACAAAATTTCCTTTTCTTTTGGATCTGGCTTATCTATTTAATGTTGTGCTGACTTTTACGTCTTAAAAGTCCTCATTAATGCTGTATCATAATCATAAATACACCATCTGCTCACTTCTTTCAGTGGGAAATGTGTTCATTGTGTTTGGAACATTGCTTATTGGTGCACACTCATGTCAAGTGGATGTGAAGGCCAAGGGGGTGGGGAAGTTGAAGGCAGAACAAGGTTCCCTGTAAACACCTATGTCCTGAGTGTTGAATAAAAAGCATGGTTGGCTGGGTGCAGTGGAGCACGCCTGTAATCTCAGCACTTTGGGAGGCCGAGGCAGGTGGATCACGTGGTCAGGAGTTTGAGACCATCTTGGCTAACACGGGGAAACCCCGTCTCTACTAAAAATACAAAAAATAGCTGAATATGGTGGCACGTGCCTGTAATCCCAGCTACTCACGAGGCTGAGGCAGGAGAATAAATTGAACTCGGGAGGTGGAGGTTGCAGTGAGCCGAGATCATGCCACTGCACTCCAGCCTGGGTGACAGAGCAAGACTCCATCTCAAAAAAAAAAAAGGGATGGTAAAGACAGCCAGTATTACTTCACTTCTGTCTGCTTAATTATGAAAGAAGTTGTTGGTAGGTAAAACTTGCAGAGAAAAGTCACCAATAAATTTGGAAAACACAAAAATTGCAGAGATTTTTAAATGTATATACATTATGCAACATTTAGAAGAGAATTCATATAGTTTCACATATTTTCCTTGGCATATTTGCAGACAAGTGGCACAGTATTTGTTTTTAAGATGGTTTTAGGATGACTATCTATTGTGAATCCCTCTTCCTTGCTTTGCTTTAAAGTCTTTTCTCTCTATTTTCTCTTTCCAGGATAAGTGTATTTAGTTTGGCTTCAATAATGGAAACCTTTCTCATTGCAGGGATGGTGTGTATGTGTTTTGATATAACATTTTCTCTTCCAAGCAAATATTTGGGCTATTACAGTTATATTAAATGAGCCTTTTGCTGAAATAAAGTTCTGTGTAGTATATTTTTGCCAGTGCTCATGTAGGTTTTAAGAAAGAATTGCTATCAAAAAATCTCTCATTACCTATTCTTTAAGATAAATTTATAGGATACTTATGTCATTGTTTTATTTCTTTCTTCTCT